TTGATTATCGTAAAAAAAAAATGAAGACTGAAATATCCAGTCTTAATGCGTCTACTTTACTTTCTAGATCTTTTCTTTGCCAATAATCGCATTTTTTTTTTTCAAAGAATTTTGAAGACTTAAAGTATTTAGAAACAACTTGAAATACTCTATTGGCTTTTTGATAAATTTTTATTCTACTGAAAACTCAAAGCTAAGTTTAGCTCTGTATTTAATGTTACGATTTTTGCTTGGATAAACATATCAAAATTGCGGTATCAAAATTATGATCACCTACAATAATTATAACTAGAAGTTTAGATGAATATAAAGTTAGTTACAATTTCATTTTTCTTTTCTTATTTTATCTAACCTTATTTTTTTTTTTAGTTCTATTTATTCTGCTTTTTTTCTTCTTTTTTTTTTTTCGTTTATTGCGCTTAGTAATTGAAAAAAGGAAAAAACATTAAAAGTGAAACTTAAATGACAGTCTATTAGTCGAAACTTTTCAATATGTGATATGGCGATATATGTTCCACAAAAACAGCTATTAAGTGTATTACCTTAAAGTATTTATAAAAATAATAAAAATTTTCCTGCATTTTTTTTCATTTATCAAATTTAGACATCTTTTCTTTTGACAATACCAGTAACTACCTAAAAATTTTTTGTTATACATTAAACTGCAACTATTGTTCAAAGAACAAATTCAACGTTTTGTATCTTTTTTTTGTTTTTGTACTAAGTAAAAATAAAAAACTGAAGCCTCTCTTTTGAAGTTTTAGCAAAAGCATTTATTAATATTATTGCTTATCAACAGTTTTGAACAGATATTTTAGGCGATGTTAAATGGTAACAAATTACTTTGTCTTTTTTGTTGGCTATTATTTTATACTGTTGAATGAGTTGTTAAGCAAATTTTATCTGTGACCATGTAAATGATATTTCAGTCAACTTTTATTGCCCAAAGAGAAATTGTTTAAAATAAAGTAATAAATAAGAAAGAGCAGTTTTCATATTCCATAAATAGACGACAATTTTTTTTTTTTTTTTTTTTT